CCTCTGGATGTCTCTCTCCTTGAAAACCATATGGGGCCGCCATGGACTAGCTGTGACTTTACAGCAAAACAACTACTACAACAACAACAACAACAACAACAATAATAATAATAATAATAATAATATTTATTGCATTAGCAAGAAAGCCATAGCACCTGTACAGAATAAAAAAAAAAACCCCAGAAAACAACAACAACAACAACAAAAACCAGCACACACTCTTTTTACAATAAGGACTTCAGACTACTTTTGGCAAGGCAGCCGAACTTCTGGCTTCGACCGCACTTTCCTTATGACGCCGCTCATTCATAAACTTTCCTCCTCTTTGTTTTTTCACGGGGGTGGACCCTCCTCAATGGGAACTTCTTATTGACAGGGGACTTCAAACGGAATCTGTGGACACCGGGGCGGGGGCGTTCCGGGGCTCATATTCCCTCCCCCCATCGTTTTCTCCACCAGCAAAAGCCCTGCCCCTCACGGCTGATCAGATGAAAGCGGACGGGAAACTCCCACCGAGGAATCCCCCAAACACACCTTTTCTCTCTCTTCCTCTTTTTCTGCTGTTTCTCTTTCCCCCTCCCGTCTCTCCATTCCGATTGGCTCCCTCGCCTCCGCGCGCCTCTGCCGATTGGCTCTCGCTCGCCTCCCCTTTAAACCTGCAGAGACTTCCTTAAACAGTTTCAAGAGAGCTCCTTCGTGGGGCTGGAAGTAGGCGGCGCGGCGGCGCCTCCTCCAGGTAAGGCAATGGGGGGGAAAGGGTGGGTGGAGGTTCAGGATTCTGATCCGCTTGCAAAGACGCAAGGCTCGGCCACCGTCTCCCCCAAAGCGGAGGAGCAAGTTGGGGGGAAAGCTCGTTCCAGCTGCAGCAGTGCGGGTTAAGTATGTGCATGATTCGAATCTGGGCCGGAGAGTAGCCCGCGGACTTGTTAACAAGTCTAAAGATTCTCTATCTACATATTATTTTATCCTGCCTTTCCACCGAGGTGGTCAGAGTGGTTCCCGCTTCCGTATTTAGCTTTCACAACGGCCCTGTGGGGTAGGCTGAGCTGAACGAGAATGGCTATCCCAAAGCAACCCGATGAGCTTTGTGGCTGGGAACTAGCAGGGCATTAGAATTACTGCCCTGATTTACGGAACATTTAAGAATTATGTGACGCATCTGAGCATGTGCAGAGTGCCTTTGGGGAACAACACAAGTGGGAGATTGGGGGCTGAACGAGGGTGAATTAGGCTAGGGTGGTAATTTTGAAGGAGAGCTGCTTGCCCTCAGACACCGTCTTGCAGTATTTATTTGAGTTATGTATGCACTGCGCTCTAACCACAGGTTCTGGAAACTGTTATGATTTTATAAATAAAGAAATGTCATGTTCTCCGTTGCCAGACATATAGATCTTCTGGGGAAATGGCTGGAAAGGAGGAATGGAAGTGAACAAGGCACGCTTAGTAGATCCTTAAAAAATATCCCTACAAGATCAACAACCCCAATTTATCTGTTTTAACTTTGGCACTTGTGCCTCTTTGTTAGCCGCCCTGAGCCTTCGGGGAGGGCGGGATATAAATCCAAAAAATAAATAAAATAAAATAAATAAATTGCCTGCTGGGAGTGGGGAGGCAATAGAATGGTTGGGGAAAGCTGTTGATCTGTCCAAAATGCCCCCCCCCCAAATACGGTGGCTCAGTCCTCTTCACAACAACCTAGTATGGGAGGCCAGGACTGTTTTTCTGACAGAAGTGCTTTTCATCTTCTAGACCGTCATATACATGTTGGGGCAGATCCATTGCCTTTGTGGAAATGAGACCTTTGTGCGTGTGCCTCCAGCTCCAGTGTTAAACCAACAGCCTTTTGTAGCTAGGGTGTGATGTTTTAAAAACCCAAAAATTGGGACGGGAGAAAATAAAAAACTCTCTCAGACTAACCTACCTCACGGGGTAGTAGGGGAGAGGAGAACGATGCTGTAAACTACTTTGGATCCCCATCAGGGAGAAAAGTGATGTATAAATAAAAATGAAAGTGCTTAATTTTGCATAGAAACATCACGTAGTTTATGGACTTTTAACCCCTCCTTTCCCCCCAACCATGTATTTCAGTTTTATTTAAGGGATTTGTAGCCCGTGTGTTTGAATTAAAAACCAAACCAAACCCGTAAGGTGGTTCATAACCTCTTAACGGTGAATAAATTTAAATGGCAAAGCAGTATGAAACCATGTAAATAGCCTAGTAACTGCAAATATGTGAATGATACAATGCAGATTACAGTTACAGGCAGAACACAAGGAAAGCTGCAGGGTCATAAAGGACAGGCCGAAGAATGAGAAGAAACTAAAAAGCACTTCATCTCAGTAATTCACCCAGTGCCAAGATAAACAGAAATCACAGGTGGCAACATAAAAAGAGGAAAAGGTCATGTCGAACCTTTTATTAAACCCACTTTAAGATTGTCAGGCCTGGGCTGAAAAATTCCTTGAATTTAGCTCTTAGCAGGGGTCATTTCCTGCAGGAGTGCAGCTGTAAAGAGCCCAGGGGGCGGGCACATGCAACAAGCCCCGCCCCCTGCTCCCAGCAGCCCTCAGTCAGAGCAAGGAGCAACCAGGTAAGTTGCAGAGCCCCCCCCCCCAAAAAAAACAGTCCAATGGCACCTTTAAGACCAAGTTTTATTCAGGCACAAGTTCTCCCTCCTCTCCGAGGACAGATCTGCACGTCCCCCCCCCACACACCAATAGCTAGGAATCCAAAACAGTCCAATGGAGCCTGAGCGGTGGGTGTTGCCTTCTGACACACTTCCGGTGATGTCAGGGGGTGTG